CATGAAAATGGACCCCTTAACAGTCTACTTCTACCATTAGTTCTATCAGGTTGATCACAGGCCTGCTTCTTGTTGCTACAACCAGTCTGAACAAGTGGCTTAACGGCTACTCTTACTGATCTCCATTTCCACCAATGTATTGATATAATACTTATTTTGCTTCTCATTCTTAAGGGTCTCACTGTTGTAAAACTGTGTATAAGAGTCACTTCATATGGTTCCATGTTCCCTTCACTCACTCTAGTTATGAATGTTTTATATGTAGGAGACTATCTTGATGCTTATACTTAAAGCATGGGTCTATATTTCTTAGATCTCCTGTACTACTATGCCTTACACTGATGGATAATCAGAAACCTGTAACTGTTTTCTGAAGATGACATCATGAACCTACTCCAGAATGGACCTGCATTGCTATCCCTGACTCCGAAAAACACATTCCTACAGGAATGGGCGATTTGTTCCTATTTCTACATATCCAGTAATAGGCCATCTGGTATAGGAAAGTGAGAACCCAATTGCTATAGCTTGGCACTAGGCCCACCCAGCTCTGCTAATAACTGGGTGTATGCCTTTGAATCAAACTTTTTATTTGTATTCTGAGCCACAGTTTTATTATCTGTAAAATGAGTGACTTGTTCTAGGCTTTAATTCCATCAGAGTAGAGACCATGTTTATCTCAGTTATAGTACCCAGTATGTAGACTAATATGTGACACAAACTAAATATTTGCCAAAGGAATAATTGTAGAAATAAACAAATTACGATGGTTTTCATAACCTCTTTGATAACAGTCTTTGATTCAGTGACTTCTATTCCACTGTTCAGTGCTCAGATCAGATCCAAGGTTGTCTCTGAATAATGAGTTTGACATTGTTAAACTATCTCTGCTTCATTTCATTTGTGACATAAAAAGTATACTGCTTCTGACAGTCTACTTCACTGGCAATCAGGTTTGTTTTGTGTTTTTTTCTCCCAAATAACTACCGGTACTACTAAGGTGCAGTGGACCACGTTATGGTGTTAAGAGTTTGGACAAGATGCTCAGCCTGCGTGCCTCAGTGGGCTATGAACCAGGGGATCACGGTTAGATTCAGGTCAAGGGCACATGCCCAGGTTGCCGGCTTGATCACCAGTGTGGAGCTTGTAGGAGGCAGCCAAACAATGATTCTCATCTCTCTCTCTTTCTCTCTCTGAAATGAAATTAAAAAAAAAAAAAAAAAAAAAAAAAAAAAAAGTTTGGAGAAGAGTTCTGGTGTTCACAATAAGATTTCTGAGTATTCATATAATTCCTGAAATGGTAGCAACATTGTGTGCGTTGGAGACTATATATTTGTATCTGGGGAGTGAGATTGTTGCCATCATCGTATTCTCGATCTGAAAAGGGATTAAGGATCACAGAAAACGTGAGGTCACTCATAAGCCTGGGTGCAGAAAGGAAGCAGGTACACAGGGGGCCTCGGGCATCCTGAGAGCGGCCGCACGGGCCCGGCGGCCTCGCTTTTACCTGGCGTGCCCCCGCAACTGCATTCCTCCCAGGCTCGCCCCCTGGGGCTCCGAGTCGCGGTCATCTTCGTCCACTTCTTCTTCTTCTTCTTCATCCGCCGCGTCTCCGTCGTCGTCAAACACGAAGCTCCGGTGGCCGAGCGGAGACAGCAGCGACCAGGTGGAGTTGCTGTAGCTCGGCGGCGGGGATGGCGAGCGCACCGCCTCCCGCCCCTGCCCGCGGGCGTCCGCCGGGAGCGCGGACGCGGAGCCCGAGGAAGGCCGCGACCGAGCGCTGCCGTCAGCGGGGAGCCAGGCGTCCGAGGGGGGCCGAGCAGCCGCCCACCGCCCCGCCGCCCACATCGGGCCCGCCACGTTCAAACCGGCGGAGCGGCGGCGGGGACGTCCTCTCCCAGCAGGCGCCGCGCGCGCCGAGCCTGGCCAATCAGGGCGGGCACAGGCCCGCGTTGCCTGGGCGACGCGTGGACTCGGCGCCGGCTTTGTTCCGGTTTCAGGCCGGGGCTCGGGTCTGCCTGCCGTTCCTCTGCCAGGCCCGCCGGCCAGGTCAACGCGCTTCCGCTAGCTGGCAGATCAGCTGTCAGATCGCGTCCCCATGACAACTTGAAGGGCCTGTCCCTTGTCTGCTGTGGTGGTGCAGGTCACTTTCTACAGGAAACAGTTTTCTGCTAAATAAGACAGATGTGGTTTTTTTTTAAATGTTTTTTTAATTGATGATGGTATCACATAATTGTCCCCATCTCCCTCCTTTCCATCCCAAACCCCTCCCCACGCATGTCCCCACCCCCCTGTTGTCCGTGACCACTGATTAGGCTCATAAGTATGCACACAAGTCCTTTGGTTGATTTCTCCCCCTTATCCCCACCCTCCTCTACCTTCCCTCTGAGGTCCGACAGTCTAATTTCCCAAAACAGATGCTTTTAAAGGGAAAGAGGCAAAAGTCAGAATTTCCTCCCTATCATTACAAGGTCACGATGATAAGCATAGGTTAAGATTTCTTTCAGTACACGGCCCTAGTGTATGAGGGGAGAAGAGGCGAACTTTACCCAACTGTTCAAGTGAGCTCAATTTAGGATAACTTTGTTGGAATTTTATTTATTTAGTTTTACTTTTTTGGTTAGCACCTCCTTTGCCTATCCATCCATGTGAGTGTGGGAGTCTCTTTGAACCCTCTAGTGTGCTAGGATCTGTGCCAGGCACTGGATATATGGATGAGTAAAATAAAAATCCTACAGGGACAAGGTCCTCATTCTCTTGTGAAAAAATCATACCAATCTTATGTGGAATGCGTTTTATGAGGAAAGAAAAAAATGTGGGACCTCAGGAGGAGCACTCTCTTAGGGACTGGGGATGGCAGAAGCAAGAGAGAGATGATAATATATCTGAATGCTTTTTTTTTTTCATGCTGACAAAACTGTACACTTGTAAATACAGCACACGAGATTTTTTACTGACTAAAGAGTGGTACAAAATCTTTGATGAAATTTAAATCTGGAACATTTGACAAAGGATAATTAAATATGGTAGAAATAATAGCAACCAAGGGGCAATTCAGAAGGCAGCAGCTATAATTAATAAAAATATGCCATATTAAACAGTTTAAATGAGTGCTAATTTTGCCTCAATATTCACTAAAAACAATACAAATGGAAGAAAATAGCAGCAACTTAATTGAGTAATGAAACTAATCAAAGAACAAAACTTAGTGGAGTTTTCATTCTCTACCCCAATTAGTCAATACCAGCATATTTGTTTAAAATCTTTTATGAGAACATCTCTAGAATCAGGAAGCGCATCAGAAGGCCCCAGAGTAACTTAGGGCTTTCAGAAGGAGGTAAATTTCAAAAGCAATTTGCAAAAGTCATAATCTGACCTAACTGAAGCATAGAAGAAAAAGCACACACACGTTTTAGTAAGAAAGGGGCCTGGGTTTGAATCAGTGGTTTCCTCTTACTAGATTTCAGGTTTCCTTAAATAGGCTGGTTGGCCTTTCCAAGTCCTTACTCCTCTGAAAAACAAGGAAATAACCTGCCTTCTAGTCTTATTTCTCATTAATCCTCAAAGCTTCTAGCATAGGACATGACGGAGAACATGGTAGATGGTAAATTACATCGCTTAAACCACAAGGTTTTTCCACTTTAACCTCTTGGTATGGTGATATAAAAGACCATATACTTCGGTGCCTCCCTAAAATGTTTTTACTTAACAAAATATGCCCTTTTCTTAATGCCTCATAATGGCCAGCTATGACATTATGCTGTTGCAACACTGGAGCTATGAGGCAAAGAGCTGCATGGTGCTGGTGCTTGAACATAATCGAGGCCTGTGGTCTCCACTCTTACAGTGCCTTTTCATTACTGGGATTCAGAAGCCATAATCAAGTTTGGGAGAACTATATATAAATGTATAAATAAGCTCAAAAGAGGGCCTCTCCTATTTTACTGTATTGACTTAGTATCTTTGCTTCTTACTGATCATTTATTTTCACTTTCCTGATATAGTTAAGATTATTTTTGCTAGCTTTGTAACCTATAAGTGCAGTTATTTGTGCCTAAAAATCTCTCGTTGGTATAAAAACAATGTCATTACCATTTAACTCTGTGGCAATGTTATGCAACTTTTAAAAAATGTATCCCTAGATTTCGAAGGGAGGGAGGTAAGAGATCAACCAAAGGACTTGTATGCATGCATATAAGCATAACCAATGGACACGAACACTGGAGTTGGGGGTGGGGTGGGGGGTGGTGGTGGGATTGGCTGGGGAGGGGCCGATGGGGGTGAGGAGACAATGGTAATACTTTAAACAATTTAAAAAATGTATGCCTAGACATATTAAAATGTTTCCAGGTGAAAGAGTATGTGTTAGATTTGCTTCAAAATAATCTAAGGCAAAGGAATTGGAAAGGGTTAGTGAATGGGATGAAAATGAAACAAGATTTACCTTGTGCTGTTGATAATTGCCTAAGTTGGATGGGTACTGGAGGGAGGAGTGAGGGATGGAAGAGGAGATGGGAGGAGGAATAATTATACTATTCTACTTTTTGTTATGGAAATTCCAAACCTATACACAATTTTAAAAACACACACATACACACAAAAACCTATGTCTCACATTAAGAGGAACTGGGTGCTGGTTTGGGTTCTAATTTGCTATGTGACTCAGGTATTTACTTAAATTTATTAAGCCCTGTATTTTCTCATCTGTCACATGAGGGCTTGATGATTATGAACAGAGTTATTTCTAAGAAACTGGACATTAAGCAAATTCATTATTATATTAATATTATCTATTAAGATAGAGCAGATTGCTTTCTGGAAACTCACTAATTCAAAATGCTGCCTATAATATTGTATTTATGACCATATGGATAGTATGATTTACCACAAATTTTATATACCTACCTACTATTCTATTTTTAAATGAATTCTATTTTTAAATGAATTCAGTGAAAGTGTTCATTAACTTGAATTTTGAAGGAAAAAACTCTTAGCTAGGATTTTTTTTTTTTTACCAAGTTATGATTTAATATTTATCAATGTGTAAATATACAAACATGACAGCAATTTTAAAAACTTGTGAATAGTTGGCCTTACAAAATTACAACACACTGTAAATAAATCCCTCCCACATTTTATACAAATTACATGATTTTGATATACAAAGATTCTGTTTTTATTACATGGACAATGTACAACCAAGACTATTTACAATGCAAAAAGTATATAAACCACAATTTAACATTCTGCTACTGGCAGCCACTATAGTTTAGGAGGTAGCTTTAATTAGACAAAATGAACAGAAGCCACATTTCCCAACTTGTGTTCTAAAAATAATTTACATAAGATAAAAATTCATTATATGCACAGTATATACAGTTTAATTATTAAACTGCAATCTAGCTTAATGTTTTTAGTATATCCTGAAAAACTAATATGGCAGTGGGTTTGCTAATGATTTAGCATATTGTTCAAAAAACATATTGATCATTTATAACTTTAAGACCCCACATTGTGACATGTCAAAAGTCCATAGATGATAATCAAATAAAAATTTTAATTTTTAAAGACATGGGCCTAAACTTTATTAATTTTTATCCCTTCTTCTTCTTCTTTAATGACATGTGTCCTGTTTCACAATAACACAATATCTAAACTGTGAACTATTGTTTCACAGGCTTTTTGTAAATTACTCTAAGGGCAAATTATGGAAACGTCCATGAAACAGCATAAGTTTAGGAGAATCCAGCTAAGAAATAAATGTAAGTGCTTTGTATCATAATGACTCCCAATTTCTTCCAATTAAATGCAATTACTTACCACAGTTTTCTTTCTGTATAATTCAAAATATAAGTAGGTAACATACCAACAAAACTGGAAAACATCCGTAAAGCCAATGATACTAGGAAGTGTTCATTAATGGGAACATTACACAGAGCCATCAGATCCCTCAGATACTATTAAACTCCGATGTTAGTTAGCAGTTTAGCCAAACCTACTAAACCCACACCGCAATTAGCCCTTTATTTTTCATAGTAGTGTGATGACAAAACACTCGGGGAAATAATGACTGGTCGCGCCAAAGCCATGTAAAAACGACTAAAATCAAATGCTCATGCTTTCTTTTAAAATCGAATAGTCATTAATATTGTTTTAAAAACATCTTCGGTTTTAAGATTTACAAATCACTCCAAGAAAATGTACGAATCCATTATGTCCAAGGTGGAAACAGAAAACACAACAACCTAAGGCCTACATTCACCCTCGCAGTCCCCCCTGGGAGATGATCCCCTTTTTGGCCCTGAAGTCCGTTGTCCTGAGATTAATAATGATCAAACATTAGGGTAACATTAGCAAGGCTTTTTCTTCAGTTGTGTGAAACCACGTTTTAAAAAATATTCTTAGAAATATATTAACAGCTGTTCTTTATCCTGTGCTTACTTCAGAAACAGGTAACCCTTTGCCGCTTAGGCAAACTTCAGAGAAACCTCACATCAGAATGCTAGGCTCTACAGAAAACCTTTCCAAGGGACAGGGTTGTTCCAAACACACCACACGTCGCTCGGATGCTGGATTTTTTTTTTTCACCAAGGGATCGTTGAGGCACTTGTTCTTTGAAAGACGTCTGCCACCTCCTCCTCCTCCTCCTCCTAAGGGACACCAGGCAGTGGTCACAGAAGCACTTCCCAGAGGAAAGATCAGACGTAGAGTCCGTCCACTCTCTAAGCACTGCGATTTTGGCTGGTTGCGGGGGAGGGGGGTGGGATACAGTCCCCAACACACCGAGACTCAGTCTCTCACTCTGGGCAGGTTGTAAGCATAGCGCACCAAAGGGAAGCCTCGGCTCTGGTAGAAGCAGGCCCGTCCGCAGGCCTGCACCTGGTCGGAGCTGTCAGAGACAAAGGAATCTTCTTCGTCCGCATAATCGGAATGGGCCGACTGCGTGCCACCGTCCGACCAGTAGCCGTCGGGCCTCGGGCACGAGCCCACCGCCAGCGCAGGGCAGCTGTGCGACTTGATCAAGTGTTTGCAGGCCACGGGCCTGGTCAGGAGGAAGGCCTCGCAGCAGTCGCACACGGCCAGGTTGCCCTGCAGGTGCGAGTACACGCCGCTGCAGTCGTAGTAGAAGTCCTGCTCCCCGCTGCAGCCCGCCTGGCTGCTGCCGCCGCTGCCGATGGACACGGCCACCGCGCCGCCCTTCCTGGCCAGGTGCCGCCGCAGCAGCTTCCAGTCCTCCCGGAACCGCGGGTTGAAGAAGACGTACAGGACCGGGTTCAGGCAGGCGGGCAGCGGGAAGAAGATGAGCGTGACGGACTTCATGATCTCGGGGCTGACCGAGACGGTGGCGGCGGTGATGAGGGGCGCGAAGGAGAAGAAGGCCACGGGGCAGAAGAAGATGCAGTTGGTGAAGATGAGCCAGGCCACGTGCTTGATGGCGCCCGAGTGCGAGCCCTCGGCCAGGTCCTCCTTCTCCAGATGGCAGTAGAGCCTGGTGTAGAGGACGGCCATCAGCAGGAAGGCGAGCGAGTTGAGCAGCACCAGGGTCACGGTGAAGCCCAGGGAGGGCGCTTCCCCCGTGGGGAAGGGCAGGCACAGCGGGGAGGCCGAGTACTCCCCGCCGGGGAAGAAGAGGGGGAAGCAGCCCGCCACGCCGGCCCCCGCGAAAGCCAGCAGGGCGGCCACCCGGAACTGTCTGAGATGATTGCCTTTCCTGCTCTTCAGGATCTCCTTGGCAGACAAGCTCCGCTCCACGGCGGCGAGCATCAACAGGAAGATGGCACTCTCCGAGGAGAACACGGCGAGGAAGCCGGCTATTTTGCAGCCGCTGCCCATCTCCCACCAGATGCCGAATTCGGCAAACCGGCCCCAGGACACGGCGTCCAGGAACGTCAGGATGCCGGTGTAGGCTCCCATGAGCAAGTTGGACACGGAAATCAGGCCTATGAACAATTTGGAGGCAGGCAGTGAGGTGCAAGGTGCAAACGTGGTTAAAATGACCAGCAGGTTGAAAAACAACGCCACCAGGAAAATGAACCACACGGTGAGACGGATCATCCAGCTTCCCAGTAAATATTCACAGGGCTTAAAAGCACCTAAAATGAAAAAAACGGGGGGGGGGGGGGGGGGGGGAAGACAAGTTAGGAAACATGTTCCATACGATATGGCTTAAGACACTAAAAATAATCTATCTATCTATATCTGATCTATCTAAGCCTAAGTGACCATTACAACCGAAAGACCAGAACTGGAACAACCAGTTGACCAGTCGCTATGACATGCACTGACCACCAGGGGGCAGATGCTCAAAGCAGGAGCTTCCCTCTGGTGGTCAGTGTGCTTTCACAGCCAACCTCCTGAGGCCGGCCAAACTCCCCCTAGTACCTCCCTGGAGCTGGCCAACCTCCCAGGGTCCCAGTCATCCAACCTCCCACGGTCCCTCCTCCCAGCTGGTCCCTTCCACCTTCCACCGGCCTGCCAACCTCTCATGGTCCCTCCCCTGGCTGGCTGCCCAGATCAGGGCTGGTTGGCCCACCTCCCATGGTCCCTCCCCCATCATCCATTCTCCCCTCCCCCTGGCCAGCAGGCCCCGATTGGAGCTCAGGGAGATGATCCAGGTTGGCCCTGATCACTGGCCAGGCCTAGGGGCCCCACCTGTGCGTGAATTTGTGAACCGGGCCTCTAGTTCTAGAATAATTAAATCTGCTACCAAACTGAATTGAACCAAATTGAAAAGATCACTATTTCAGATATTTTAGTCACTGCAGTGGACTATTTAAAATAATTACTTTTATTCCACACTCTCAGTGACATGGGCTGCTACAGTCACCATAATTCCAGGGAAGTTTCCTTTCTTAGTTTCACTCCTTTATTTTCACTCCTTTATTTACTGAGGTCCTGAGCACGGAGTAAGGGTGGGGATAGAGTAGTGACCTCTCTCTCCAGTCTCAGGCTTTAGGCTGAAATTAGTTTAAGATCTGATTTGGGGAAAAGTGAGGATACAGGAAAAAAAATTTGCCTGATCTGACCTCCAAGGATTTATTCACTCATTTACTCACCAATAACTGATTGCAAAGGCCCTGGGGATTATAGTCCACTAAGAAACAGTGCTTTTCAGAAAAACAAAACAAAAAAAAACCCCAAAACTTTTTATTAAATATTTGGTAAATTCATATAGTGATATCTAAAAGAAAAAATTCTCACTTTTTCTCACACCTAAGTTAATACGCATAGCACTGTATATCTAGCATATGCAAGGTACCTGATATACTAAGAGTTTGGACTTGGATAAATGAGAGTTTGAATTTAGGATCCATAACTTGCTACTCTTTTTCTTGAGGAAGCAACTTAAATCTGTAAATTTCCTTTTCCCACTTGTGGATAATAATGCCCATTTCATAAAGCTGTGGAACTTAATATTACATACATAGGTATTTAAACAGGCTACTGGTATATATTTCGACTTCAGTAATATTAGGTTCTTTTCTTCTTCCTTATCATATTATAGTACACGTAATAATAATCATATATGTATGAATACATATATTTTATACACTTTTTATGGCTTTCAAAGGCAATCTGATGAGGCAGATTAACATGGGTGTAATTATCCCCATTTTTTATCTAAAGAAACTGAGGTTTCATAGTTTTCGATTGATCTGCATAAAGATTATTGAGTTAAGATAGTGCAGGGAGGACTAAAACATGGTGATGTTACGTATTCATATAAAGCTACATCCAATAAAATTCTGTGTAACTTAAAGTAGGACTGCAAAAACTAATTTAGTAGCTAAATGGCACATTCTAGTAACTGACTTTAACATGCTGGTGGTTATGCCACAAATGAGAACTGTTTTATTTAAAAATCAGTAACGAAAAACAAAGTTTTGTCTACAAAGCATAAGAAAACGATGTACTACAACTGCCTGAAAGACATGTTCTGACGAATCTTCCTGAACTGTCATGAAGTTTAATACAAGCTATAAAGCATTTTAATCACTGAGATAGTCACAAACCCCACCAACCAGGTCTACACCATTTAATTCTGACTTCCAAATAGCACAAGAAACTAGTTTAAATGTTTAAAACTAGTTTCTAATTAATTACTGTAATCTTTAAAATTTCCCCCTCAGGGAGGTGTTAACAGGAAGCTTTCACTTTTATCTGTGTATCTGAAGCCACCCTTCTTTGCGGAGGAATGGCTCAGCTGGCCTGGGAGAATGGCTCACTTTGACTAGTGTTTGACTAGTGGGTGGAGTTCAGTTCCCTGGGGAAGCAGACCCCACCCAGTCTCTGTTCCAGGAAACCTGTGGCCTCCTCCAGTTCTAACCGAAGGTTCCTGCTCTCCTCTACTTCGGCTTCTGAGTGAGCACACAGGTATCCCTGTTACAACTGAGTCAGGGAAGACCGGCCTGCAATGCATCCCTCCTGCAGCCAGGGGAGGTGAGCTCAGACCTCTCGTCTTCCTGGTTGGCCCCAATGTTTAAATTCAGTGTGGACGGAGGAAATGGAACCTCAGCATGCTCAGGTCTCATATCCCCTTAATGAAGCTGGTCTCCTCTCATTGGGTTGTCAGTTCCTGATGTACAGTCTCCAACACAAGAACCCCAAGGGGGCAAGTGAGGGAGCTGCACCCTTCAACTTCCAACAATACAGAAATTAGAGAAATTGCATAAATATAAATGATTCTTGCCAATCTCATTCACTCATCTGGTCACTTGAAGCTTATCCTCTACACAACTATTCTTATTATTTATACTTATTCTCTATGCTAAGTATGAAAAGACACATGTGCAGCACCTCGAGAGACTCACAATTCAGCGGTACTTAGAGAATCATGTTATATGATTCTGAGTCATGAAATTAATGTCCAGATCAACCTGTTGTCAATATGCTAAGAAAGGAGCTACTTCACAGCATGCCAGTTAGCCAATTTTTCTTTTACAGTAAAATTCTAGATCCATCTTCTCTGACAGGCAGAATATGACATCACAGTCACAATGGTCAGTTTACTAACTTTCTCAAGTCTTCTAAGTTCAGTGACATAAAAGACAATTAAAAGGAAAGGTTGCATTTAAAACAAAAAAAAAAACACAAAACAAAACAAAAAACAAGCCCTAACTGGTTTGGCTCTGTGGATAGAGCGTTGGACTGCGGATTGGAAGGTCTGGGTTCGAAATCACACTTTTCCCCAGAAGTTTCAGGTACAGCTGCCTAATGTCTATTTAAAGCAAGAAACTGCAGCACGCTCAGTTGGGCTTACCTGTTGAAGGTGTGCAGTGGATAATTATCTGACTGTGCTCCTCATTGTCAGCACTGACAGTGACCCCTGCGGCATCGGCGGGACCTGAGGGTAAACATCGGTTGTATTGAATTCAAGCTTTATGAGATTCAGAAGAATCACTTTCCTGCAACCCCGTCTCTCCTACATGATATACGCTCAGCTTGTTACGAGGCTTGAAAACATATTAAAGATGCCAGGAACACAGCAAAGGCCATTTTTCTCAGGTTTCCTACTGATCCTTCACAAACTGATTACAATAACAGAGGATCTGATCAATGCCATCAACCGTGGCCTACTTTACCTAGTACATGCACTTGCCTTTATCCTTGGCCACGCTGTGTTCTTGGAGGCTCTTATCTTCCGTGTTTGAATGGGTGTAAGAGTCGCAACCCCAAAATGCACAGCACTGATAAGCGTAGGGTACAGATAACGACCTGGAAAATAATTATGAAATCTGCATTGAACAACAGCTTCACAGACATGCTTGTTTTGTAAAAAGTATTTTAGTCACTGAAAGCCCCAGCCTAGGAGTCAGAAAGACCTCATTGCCACTCTCTTTAAGCGCTCAGTATCCTTTCCAGGCCTCAGTTTCCTCATCTGTGTGAAAAGAGTTCTGAGATCAGGTGATAACATGAGCTTCTCATTTACATAAGATATGCTTTTACAAACTGGATTTAAACCAAGCCATGTTTAAAATTTTACAGTAACACTCCCTTTATAAATGAATTAACGATACCCAATGTATCATATGAAACTGGTAGTCTCATTTAAAATTAATGTCTCAAGTCATCTGTGAATTTCTACCATTAAATGAATTTACTTTGTTTGTAACTATAGTGAAAAAATATACTCTCCTCTCCCAAAATAATACCCCACACCCTCTCTCTTTTATATCTAATGAAGTCACCATTCTAATATTTTGTCTCCATAAAGTGCTATACAGCATTGCATCAATTTCTATAGGCTCCCACTTAGGTGGTTTCATCTTGTTGCTAATGTCAAATCCACTATATAAAAAACCATTCATTCTGATGAATAGTTCTGTTATCTCTTTGATAGCATCAAGGACTCAAATTCATATTCTTAAAAACTATGGAATTATGCTCAAGTTCTATTTTACACCAAATCTGTAAGGATTGGGGTAGAAAATACTCTTAAATTATAGCCTCCAAGAAAATCTGAGAACAACAGCAAAAAAACAAACAAAAAAACCCCACTAAATTAAAAAAAAAAAATACTAGCACACTCTATCATTTAGGGGTCTACCCTACCATCAACAAAAAAGAAAAATAAGCAAAAACACACCTGAGATTAACAAAATCTTTTGCTGCCAAAGCTTCTTTCAGCTGGAAGTTGCCCACAAGTTTCAGTTGATTTAGCCCATTCAGGCCTTCCGTAGGAAATGACGTTAATTCATTGAAACTTACGTCTCTAAAATGTGAATGAGACTTCAAATTAATCCCCAAGATGCACAACTCCCAAGATGCAAATCACGCAGAAACTTCTGTACGTGTTAACATGAAACATCTGTACGTGTTAACATCATAGACATTAGAGTTCCAGGAGGAAGATGAGTTGTGTTAAATATTGAAATCTAGCATGCATCTCGCCATAATAAAAGCTCGTACTATATCCATGCAGTTAGCCTTTATACAAGGAAACAACTGAACAGAAAAATATTCAGACAGGTCATTAAACACAAGTTTCTGTAAAGTATTCACGACTTTCCTGATAGTATTGCATAAAGTTGTCAACTTACAGGTTAGTTATTGACCCAAGCTTGGCAAAAGCTCTGTCGTGAATTTCATGGATCATGTTTCTACTCAGATCTCTGCAATCATAAGAATAATGTGTTAATATTTTCAAATATACTCAAATTGCAGTTACTTTGACTACACTTTAGAATAGGGGTGTCGAACTCAATCAGAGAAGGGGCCAAAATCTAAAATCCAGCCTAAATCGCGGGCCGAATGGTTTACTGAACAGTCATAAACTGTCATTGTGATGGAAACGCAGTGGAGTGCAGTGATGACAGCGCGGTGCGGGCCACATTGCAAGGCCTGGCGGGACGGATTTGTCCCGCGGGCCTTGTGTTTGACACATGTGCTTTAGAATCTGAGGTAGTCACAATAGCCCCAATAACAAAAGCCTTTAATTTTTCCAACAACACGTTCATTTCGGTGCTGAATGCCTCTCCTTCACAAAAACCTCTGTCTTGGAATGTGTTCCCATGGAGCAGTAATTCCACTTGGCATCTGTTTCAGAACAGTTGTGAATTTTCTCCCCCTTATCGTTCTGGTGCCAGTTCAAAAATATAAATGATATGATATATAACCTTTGGTACCATTAACTAGGTGAGAAAAAGCTCAGCTCCTGACAAAGCTGAAAATAAAAAGCAGGTTTCCTATTATTTGCCTTCTCAAAGGTTAGTGATAAGGCTCCGAGAGAAGACAAATAATCAATATGCAAACAAGAGCATTCCAGAAGGGCTTCAGATATCCCCACTCCCTCCCCTCACCCCCCCCCCCAACCCAAGCAGGAAATAAACATCATATCAACAGCAGAATCACACTGTAACAAGGAACACACCCTGAGGAATTCTGCTGTTACAGAAATAATAAAACAGAGAAATAATCTCCAGCCACACTTAAATTGAGCCTGACTGGAAATTCAGAGATTGTATAAATGCATTCCATGACACGTCTCCTAGATAACAGGGAAACTCAACAAACTGGGTTTCAAATAATAAAAAGGCCAGCTTCTCATTGTTGTCGCTTATCAGGGCTCCAGAAGTGATGGCAGCGAGGAGCCAGTCCCCTTCCTCCTGGGGCCCAGACCCACAACCAGCCTGCCGGCGAAATGGACAGGTCTGGCAACCTCACCACCAATACAATGTTTTCTAGTAGAATGCATTTCTCATTTCTAAATGGGGTTCTGCTGAAAACAGGACTCTATATATGTAAGTTCACTTCACTGTCAATTTTTTGAATGTATTCTGCACTTTAAAAAATGTTCACTGATTCAGTGATGTGTGTGGCCTGCACTGAAGCTCCAGGAAGGTAATGGCCAGGTTGTCTCAGTCACCGCTCTGTTCCCAAGTGCTTCATAGCGTCGTTGGCACACATATACTCTAAAATACACATCCATTTTATAAATGCTTGCTTCTGCTGCACATTAGCCACCTTTGTCATGACAGAGACACCAGTGCAGGGATCAACAAATTTTTTCAGTGTAAGGCCAGAAAGCAAATATTTTTCACCTCTGGGGGGTCTTATGGTATGTCCTGCAAGTATTGAACTCTGCCACAGGATAGTGAAATGAGCTTCAGACAATACTTAAAACAAAAGGGCAAGGCTATGTGCCAACAAACCTAATTTACAAAAACCGGAGGCAGGCTGGATCTGGCCCACAATTACAGTTTGCCAACCCTGGCCTAAGGAATGGATAAACTCATTATTATGACTTGAAAACAAAGTGCATGTCTCAGGTTGTACATTCTTCTTTTTAAATCAATATTCAATAGCAGAAATGAGCTAAGGTAAAAAAAAAATGCTGAAAATACATTATTTATAGTAAAGTACCATGCAGTGACGTTCAAAGAACAGTATTTACACATAATACATTAGATCCTTAAGTGTATCTATCAAAATGGGAATTGTGCTGATATGTTTAATTTATAGCTTGACGGAAAATGTACTCATTTCTAATAATCATAGAGAAACTTACAGTATCCTTAGGGATATGAGGCCTTGAAAAGTGCCTTCTCTGATTTGGCGGATCTGATTACGTTGCAAAGAACTAGGAGAAGGAAGGCAAGGATTGGGTGGGGAGGGGGTAAGAAAGAGTGCGGGAAGAAGAGGAGAAAAGGGGGGAAGAAGGAGGAAAAGGGAAGGAGGGGTAGAAAAAGAAGAAAAGAAAAAAATAGAAAAAATTACTTTCTATTTGAAAAATAGTATTTCTTAAACTTTTTCTAACTTTATTCATTCGTAAGTAACAGTGTGATCCTGTTGAAAGTCAAGGAAACTTATCTATAACTTGAAATGGTTAGGCTAATTGGTATTTCATCCCAAATTATATGGGGGGGGAGAGTATATGTAATTATCTAAATTCCTTATCAACTCTGCTCAGGAGTGGAGCAGGAAGACAACACAGTGAGAAAGGATCCAAGACAACACAACCTCACCGAGTACCATAGAGGAAGGCGGGGATCAAAAATGGAAGAATTAATGCCTCCCTCTCCCCGCCTCCCCATCAACTTCCGTCGGAGATGTCCTACATAGGTACACAGTAGATACTCATGTCTGGTTTCCCTCAGCAGCCAGAAAGTGTATGTGTTTTGTATATACCACCCTCTCTTCATAGTGTCTCACAGAATTCCTGATACATAGATGTCTAAAAACTACTGGTTGCATGAACATCCCTGGTACAATGGGACATTTATTCATAAGAACACCTGATTACATGAATATCTAATTTCTTAATAGTAAAGCCATTTATTTAAAATAGGAAATGCTTGATGAAGTAACAATACACCACACAGCAAGAAGAGTAAGTCAAAGAACAACTTACATTTCTTCCAGAGCATGGCAACCATTAAAGCTTGGGAGGTCTTTTATATTGTTGTAGGACAAGTCCCTTAAAACAATGGAAATGAAAAATTAATGTTATCAGTAAACTGTATTAAAAGAGCTATACTTAGAAGCATTGAAAGCAGTGCTAATATCTGTAATAAAGAGATAACAAGAAAAGCGCTATATTTTTTTCTAAGACTGTAAGCTTCTAAAGCACCTAGTGCTTAAGATTTGCAAACTTGTACATAATGTTGACTACATTCAATATAAAATATATTTTAAAATGTTATGTAAAATAAACAAAATTAAATATAAAAATGTGGAATATATAAAAATCATGCTTAAGTCCTAGACTTATGGTTTTTTTTAATTCTATTTTATAATATTGTTTACACCATAAATAATTTCTATGTTATTTCATTAAAAAGCTATAAGAAGAGTGGTAGTCATATTTTTAAAAACATATTAAGTCAAGTATTGGGACTACTTGAATCTCAGTTAATCCCACTGAAGTTTTTTCTTATTGGTAATTGTCAGGCTTGATACTCCATGACACCATTTAATTACCTGCTTAATCAATCAGTCACTTATTTTTGTTACTATATCTTTCCACTGAATACTTATTAACAACTTAGTAACTTAATTATCTGTTCTTGTGACATTTTCACATTTTTTAATTCCTAGGTCAGTTTAAAGGTTGTGGAAAGCTCCATGCTCAGTTGGTTCCTGATCTAAGACAGATCTGGGCTGTGCTTAGGCTACGGATGACAGAGCAGGATATGGAGAGCTGATCCTTCTGGGGAAATGAATAAAAACAAGGAGTCAGAACAAGAAAAGAAAAAAAAATCAAGAAAGGACCTAGCTTGGTTTTAGTTTGTTTAAAGTCACAAGATGATATATATATGTGTGTGTGTATATATATATATATATATATATATATATATATATATCCCTAAAGCTAAATTCAAATGCACATTACCTAATCTGGGCTATTAAAATGATCGCTCATTTCCATGAAGGAAATAAGAAATAATTATACTTTAAAATCACCTAACAAAAATAGTTCATTAAAAAGAAAACATGTGTGAAGCACATAAAAGAAAGGTGTGGGAAGGGAAGAAGAATCCAACTTACAAAGTCCTGAGCATCTTTTGTTCTTGGCACAGATTACTGGATATACTGCTTATCTTCGTGCCTGTCAAGGTCCTGCGGAAAAACATGGCTCATCTAAGAAATGATTCAAGTGGAGATGGTAAAAATGCTGTTCTCACGTGGAAAAATAAATGCTCGCTTTGTTTTCAAACGGGCTAGAGACGATGTATCCCACGGCCTGAGTCTCCCTCAGGTTAGGCATGCGGGAAGACAGACTAACCCTCCACGCTAGTGTCATTGTCCGTAGTAACATCAGAGAAGCTTATGACACTAGAGGTAATACTGTCTCAACAATGAGCTTGATTTCTCACACGGACCAAGAGAAAAACAGCAATCCACAGTCACAGCCTGACCATGACCACCTGCAAGTTCTGTCACCCGCCCCCCGCCCCACCATCTCCCACTCCCACTCAAAACACTGGGCGCATCCTGCCCTCAAACATTGTTTCTGCCTTTTCTTTCCGTCAACCTGACTCAACAGTATCCCATTTTCTCTTACCCCCCTTCCTTTCTGTTGCCATTTTCAGTCAATCACCAATTCCTGTTCTTTCTTCCTCTACTAGTATAGTGCCTCCAGCATCTGACCGACTATCTCCATTTTTACTGCCACAATAGTGATGGGGGATGGGATGGTGCAGAAAGGGGTGGGGGCATCTCAGGCCACAGGGAGAGCTGCAGTGGCTCAATGTGTTGTTCCCTTAGCCAAGTGGATCCTTCTCATGGCCTCCTCGCCACGCTTCCTATCTCTACTCCTTTCCTCCTCACACCACCTGCTCCATTATCCCCAACACCTCCAATGACCTTGAGTCAAGTTTAAACTGCTTAGTTCAGAGATTCCCAGCTTCTTTTTTCCTACATCTTGGAACCCATGAAAATCAGAACATCTGTGCGGTATAATGATGTAAGGCTCCATGTGGCTGGAGATCCTGGCCACCTCAAGCCTCACCTGGCTGCCTCAAGGGCTGAAGTCATCAAGACCTTGGCTGCACGTGTCACCCATTTACAGACTATCCATCGGGGAAGCTTTGCCAAAACCAAACGTTCCGTGTTCAAGGCTTGCCATTTCATGTTTGTGACCCAAAGAATTTTCCAAATTTCTCTGTATCACGCCCCATTCAACTGGGGCACCATGCTGGCACCACTGCAGCTCTACCCTGTGGCCTGCGATGCCCCCACCCCTCTCTGCACCATCCCGTTTTCCATCTGTATCGGAGCAGCAAAAATGGAGACAGAAGGTCAGTAAAAATGGAGATAGCTATATGTGATCTTCTGTACACCATCCTTTTTTTTTTTTTTAATATATTTATTGATTTTTTACAGAGCAGAAGGAAGAGAGATAGAGAGCTAGAAACGTCAATGAGAGAGAAACATCGACCAGCTGCCTCCTGCACACCCCCTACCGGGGATGTGCCCGCAACCAATGTACATGCCCTTGACCGGAATCGAACCTGGGACCCTTCAGTCCGCAGACTGACGCTCTACCACTGAGCCAAACCAGCTTCGGCTGTACACCATCCTTGACCTAAATCCTGCCTATCTAAATATTATAAAAAACCCCGCTCTGAGAAACCTGCCAGTATTTCATTTTGAAACATTTCAACTCCTTCAGGAAGCCTTCTCTGATAGACTGCATTGATCGCTCCACTTGTGAATCCCTGAAGCACTGCTTCTGACCTGGCACTTGCTTTACGGCCTTATATTTCCAGTGCCCTTTGCATATATTGTATCTGCACACACCAGGCAATACTCTTCCTGGGCCAACTGAGCCCAAACTCAATATCCATTTCCATGCTATCCGCAAAGGGAGATTGTAGGCATCAACATAAAGTCTCCATCATCACCAAAAAGCACTGGCACACAACTAGCAGGCCAGCATGCTCTCTTTATGCAACTGGTCTTCGAAGGGCCATACTTACAGACTCTCCAGGTGGACGGTCCCAGTCAGATTGGGGAACTGCTGCACCATGCTGGCACCACGAATGACTCTAAGAAATTGGGAGAGAAGTAGTTTTAAATAAAAAAAATTCGCATAGACAACATTTGCATTTTCTTTTTTTTTCTTTTTAAAAAAAAATAGATTTTATTGATATTTTACAGACAGGAAGGGAAAGAGATAGAGAGCTAGAAACGTCGATGAGAGAGAAACATCGACCAGCTGCCTCCTGCACCCCCCCACTGGGGATGTGCCCGCAACCAAGGTACATGCCCCTGACCGGAATTGAACCCGGGACCTTTCAGTCCGCAGACTGACGCTCTACCACTGAGCCAAACCAGTTTCGGCTGCATTTTCTTTTTTAGACAGTTTAAGATGATAGCACCACAAGACCTACAAGATAAAATTGCTTTCATCTCTTGGATGTACCCGAAAGTGTGGAAATTTGGCCAAATGTTCACATAAATTAAAACTATCATAAATTTTCAAAATTATCCTTTGGACTTTGGGCCAAGGAAAAGACACTGAAAGAGTTTGTTTTCTGGAGCTATGGTTATAAAGTCTAGTTTTCCATTAAGGCAACTGTATAAGCATTCAGGTGTGTTTTAGAATTTATAGAATACTTACAAGGAATGCAGATCAGATAAATTGTGAAATGCCGAGTTCCCCACAAAAGATAGAGGATTATCATACAAATGTCTGTAAAAACAGCAAAAAAGAAAAAAAAAATCAAAGTTTTCATATGTTCACAAGCACTCCCAAACTAAATCTATGTTCATAAAGCTTGTGTATCTCAAAGCCTGATTTTTCATTCTTAAGTCTGATGGTTTTTGCCATCATATAGAGATAGCTGTACATGATTATATAGTATTAGAAGAAATTTTCAAAACTACTTACATAGTTCTTAAGAGTGGATTACCATCAAATGCTCCGTCAGGGATAACAGATATAGAATTACTATGAAATAACCTAAAAAGATAGAGGAGAAAATATTTTAAAATGCATATGCCCTTGTGAAATAAAGTTAAAACCCAAGTATCTACTCCTGTATTATATAGCATATAACTGATAACTACTACATGAAAACTTCAGAATTGTGGGAAAACTGAATTTTTAAGTCTCATATTTTCCCCGATAGTTCTTTTTAAATCCCTGCTTATACTACCATCAATCAGAGACTTCATCTATACTTAGCTGTACCTTCATCATCAAAGAACTTTACACTACAGGAATCATAACATTTCTGACCCCCACATCTCTCACTATATCCTGCATTTAGTCTTTAAGCAATTCATCATACAGCTTTAGCTACTGGCTCAAGACATACAGTCTCTGTTATGCTATATACATTCCTATCATTGCCCTTGACAAATCCAACTTCTAAAATGCTCCTCTGTCCCTTTCATTTATTTAAATACTAGTGTCCCGGTGCACAGATTCATGCACAATGAAGGGAAATTAATTAGGAGAAATATTTTAATATCACTATTTGCCCTTTCTCTATAATAGAAATGTCAACCAAATTCATGATCAAATTCACACCCCATGAGATTGGTGCCAGTGAGAGCTTTATATGTATTGAGCATGCCTGAGTTGAGTCAACTTAGCCTTTTATAAATATAGAATAAACTTGTTCAATTAGACCTGCTTTCTGATTTAGCTTTTTCCAGCCCAGTGAAACACCCCAACTTCTCTTTCAGGTAATTGTTCACAACACAGCAGTAAATATCAACACGAAGCAGATTATTATTGAAGATCATGTAGGGAGAACAAAAGGTAGCAGTGTTTGACCATATTTTGCACAGTGAAAAAACATGAAGTCATTTTCAAGTTCCACTATTTCTTTCTTCTTTTCAGTTGGGTCAAGTTTCTAAGCTTTCTAACTCTCCATTTCCCGGCTAATGAAAAGAAAATGGAATTCTATTGAGTCTCCTATCTACTTCCTCCAAGACTTCTTTGAGGATCAAATGAAATGAGGCAGGGAAAACGCTTCACAGACATTTGTTTAAAGTATAAAATGTTTCCACCTGGCTATAAAGCAAGATGAGTTCCTGGGCTAAAGAAACTGTGAAGAGGCTAGTTGTGGCTAGAAAGAGAAAACTGGATGTTGCTATGTGTGATGTCTTTACCTGGTGCCCACAGCAACCATTGATAGGCTAGGCTGGCTCTGGGCTATATTTTGCACCATAGGGTCTTAGCAGCATTGGCTGCAATTTGGTAGGGTGTCGCTCTGGGGTGGTGGCGGGCCTGTGTTCCACTTGGGGGAAGCCGAGTATTGGTTTGTTGGCGCCAGGTCCGTGGTGACATTTTTTTTTTTTTTTTTTTTTTAACATGGCCAGTGCACATCATGGCAGCTTCTGCATTAAGTGTCTGCCGCCTGGTAGTCAGTGTGCATCATAATTACTGGTTGGACAGATGGCCTTTTAATATATAGATTTCCATTCTTTCAAACCCAGTTCAATTTCTCTTCTTTAGTGATGCCTTTTCCAATGACCTCAAGTCTCAATGAAGTATTTTTCTAGAAAGATTTCTTTATCCGATCCACGCAGCAATTATTGCTACCTAGAAACTGCTATCTGTCTGCCTTGTGTAGTAGCTTCCCCAATGACACTAAGACAACAAGCTCCTACAAGGTAGAGACCCTACATTTCAGCTTTTCTTTCCCTAAAATCTAGTTCTGTCGGGTAATCTATATTCAGAACTAACTATCCAGGCCAGCTGACATATTCCAATCTGTATGATCATGCATGTTTATGTGCATGTGTTTTACAGTGTATGTAATGGAGCAAATGTGTCCTAAAAATTTCATTGTTGGAAAATTACATGGTAATGTTCTGAGGATATTAAGGCAAAAAGACAGCAAAGCAATACTCACAGTTCTTTTAGGCTAGGAAGGGCTTTAATAGCCTGGGGAAATTCCCCCAAGTTGTTATAATTCAAGTCCCTAGGGGAGGAAATGGGGAAAATATGTAAGAATATTGAAGAGTGGTCATAATTTAAAAGGCATTTTGGTACAAATGTATTTTTAAAAAATATCACTTCCTCTAGATCATAATCTTTCTTTACCAACCATATTGTCATTCAAACCCCGGTAGAAGTTTAATTGAATTTACACCTTTTCTTAGAGTACTGAATAGAAAAAAGAATCATAATTCTTCTAGGATATTTTTAAGTCAATTTTAAAAATTCAAAGAATTCTTAGACTCACACATCTCTGGGTACATTCAACAAACAAACATCTGAATGTCATTTCTCAGGAAAGCACCAAAAAAGAGAATTTATTAAATTATCCATTTCTAAGCAACAAGAGCCTGCAACTGAGATTTCCATTTGGGGGTTAGAGTGGCTTCCAGAAATTCTGGCCTGAGGCAGCTGACCTCAGCCCTACCATCAGCAAGATGGCCCATGATAAGTAAGAAGAAGGAGAAGAACCAGGATGAGTTCACATAACTATTGTCCTCTAGTAAGTTACAAATTGTTGAAAATGTCACATTCATTGGGAGAAAGAAATGTCACAGGGATCTGTACTAAACAGAGCTCATTCTGAGAATGTTTACATTTCAATTCTTTTCACCTCAGAGCATGGCGGCATATGATTAGCATGTAAATTTCAGAATGAGAGTAAAACAAAATCAAATAGAGACCCACTTTATTTTCTATTTCTACACAGAAAGAAAAGTAACAAATAAAAATTTAACCAGGAAGAAGAGATTCAATTCTAATAACTGGGATAGCATGCATGGAGCAGTGTACATTCATTCTCCCGTTACACTGGTGTTTACAGAGAAAAAGAGAACTGAGTTTGGAACTATCAAGAACTTCAACTTTCAAATAACCATTGATGCTCACCATCCTTTAGTTGTTCATACAGGAAAGTGGGTTAACAGAGCCCCAACTCAGTGAAATAAAATATTACAAAACCCTAACCATTCCAATCAGAGGTTACTGACCAATCTAATTGGGCCGTACTCTGAATCATTTAGTGCACCACAATGGCAAATATTATCACTCTCCAAATGAAGGCAACTAATGTGAAGTAAAATAACAAAAATCAAGATCCTACTCTCGATTACACACAGCTGCACAGTGTTGTAATATATACTTGAAACAGCCAGAACTCGCAAAAACTTTAAGTAGCAGAAACAACAACAAATGTACCCCAAGAAAACTGGGAAACTTTGTCACACTTAGCCTATGAAATCTGAGATAATATTCAATCCCAATGTTAACCATTAACCAGCCAGGCAACTGTGTTCAAGGAAAAAAACAAACAAAAAACTTCTCCCAGAATTAATTTGATAAGGCTCAAAATTCTATAATTACCTACCATACATTTTAACAACACCAGTTTGACAGATTGAGCTTCTTTTAACATGTACTTTTGCAAGAAATATCAAGTTCAAACTTTTGTGCCATTTTTAACTATAAACTTAGATTAGCATTCATAACTGTTTTATTGGATGACAAGAATTTAGCCAACTATTAACTTAATTATGAATGAACGCAAGACCTTTAATTTTTTCCTTTTTTTTTTTTTTGCAATGAATTGCAAAATTGTACCTTTGACATCATAATGTGATCATCCAAAATATGATGAAACTTACAAGGTCTCCAGGTTTTCTAGTCCATCAAAACAGTGTCGACCCAGGCTTTTAATTTTATTGTTATGAAGGTGCCTTTGGAAAAAAACAAACAAAAAAACAAACAAACACATCAAAATGACTTTACTATCACCCAATAGCAACTATTACAATGATTTCTGTGTCTAAATGTTTGGCTTAAAGAAATGGCCCTAGACCAGCCCTCGCCAACCAGTGCTTCGTAGACCACTGGTGGTCCATGAGCTCCAAAACGCTGGTGACCACTGCCCTGGATGGAGCCCAAGGACTCCAGGTTCAATTCCTGTCAAGGACATTGGAGTCAATCAATGGATGTGTGTCTCTCACAATATGTTTCTCTCCTCCTCCTTTCTTTTTTTAATTTTTTTATTAATATATTTTATTGATTTTTTTTACAGAGGAAGGGACATTGACTTTTTTTATAGAGGGTTAGAAATATCGATGAGAGAGAAACATCGATCAACTGCCTCCTGTGCACCCCACTCTGGGGATGTGCCCACAATCAAGGTACATGCCCTTGACCGGAATCGAACCTGGGACCTTTCAGTCCACAGGCTGATGCTCTATTCACTGAGCCAAACCGGTTTAGGCTCTCCTCCTCCTTTCTACTCTCTTTAAAACTCAGTAGAAAAAAAAAAAAAATCCTTGGATGAGGTTATAAGAAAAGAAAGAAATGGTATAGCTACAAACTGTCACTGTTAGAGGGGAAGGGAGTTGTAGGGCTGGGCCAAAATGATAAAGGGATTAAGAAGGAAAAAAAAAAGCCATAGACAATAGTATGGTGATTACCAGAGGGAAAGGGGGAGGGGAGGTAGAAGAGGGTCAAAGGGGTTAAATAGTGACGTAAGGACTTTGAGCAGTGAGCACACAATACAATGTATAAATGATTTACTATAGTAGTGTACACCTGAAGTTTAGTAACTAAGGTCACTCTAATAAATGCAATTACTAATTTAAAAAAAATGGTATAGCTAAACATTTCAACACTCGGCCAATGGAAAACAAATAGCACTGGGTAGTTATCTCAATATACACTCCAGATTCAGATTCACTGGACAGTATACCAATAAAAAGGAAAATGTCTCTAGTGGGAAAAGGGTGCACACATTACATATCCCTTGATATGCACCCTTATCAAAAGAAAAGTTTTGATGAGCTTTTAATTATATGAAGTGAAACTTGGATAAGCTCTCCTTTCGGGAAGTGTGGGAGAAATGAAGGAAGCAAGTGAGCTTACATCAAGAATCAGCACCAGGTTTTACAAAGAAATGCCATTTTATTATACCCAAGTTTTCAAAGATTAGAAACACAACAATCATATACTGTTTGAATAGACGAGTTGGTAAAAATATAAAATATCGCCCTAACTGGTTCAGTATTGGCCCTTGGACTAAAGGATTATGAGTTTGATTCTGGTCAAGGGCACGTACCCTGGTTGCAGGCTCGATCCCCAGCCAGGGTCAGGTGTGTGCAGGAGGCAACCAACGGATGTGTCTTTCTCACATTGATGTTTCTCTCTCTGTCTCTCCCATCCCTTTCACTCAAAAAATCAAATCAAATCAAATCAATAGAAAAAAATGTCTTCTGATGAGAATAATAAACAAAAAAACAAATCAACGAAACTCTTGTATGAGAACCTCAAAACAATCCTGCTTGTTTTAACATTGAATACACTGCTGACAGACAAGTAAAAGCTGTACAAGTGTTAGTTGATGACCCAATTTCTTCTCATGGTTACAAATGGTCACATGTTTTAGAGAAATTCAGTAGTTATTACCAGACACGAATTTTTAAAAATTATCCTATTCTGTATTTTTAAAAGCCATCACTTTAATTTTGTATAAAGGGCAGCTCCCCCAAACCCTCACCCTTCAGGAGCATCATCAGTAAGATGCTTTCATACTAAGAAACCTGTTTTGTGCTCCCACATTAACATCACTATCTGGTATTAAATGGGGTGGATACTTACAGGACCACCAGGCTGGACAGGTTGGTGAACGCAAAGTCGGGGATGCTGGAGATTTTGTTGAGAGCCAAGGTGAGCGCCTGCAGGGTGGGCAGGTTGCTGAGGGGGTGCACGGGCACCTCCGTCAGACTGTTGTCATCCAGCCACAGGTGGCGGAGCTGAGCGAGCCCCTCGAAGCTGTTCTCGGGGACTGAGGTGATGTGGTTGGCATCCAGACGCCTGGCAGAAAGAAACATCCACATTCAGTAACGAGTCCTCCTGGTACGAGGCAGTCCGAGCAACACAGCTCCGAATTTCCAAACAAAAAGGCGTTATAAAATGACCGGGCTGGGACCTCTGATTTCTTCCATCCCGCTAGAAGTCCTCATCAAGTCTCACGACTTTTCCAAGATCAGTGTATGGAAATCAGTTCTCTCCCTTCCTTCAAACAAAGAAATGTGAATCTTTAAGGCTAAAAGACCAGAAATATATTTTTTTAAACCCTCACAGGGCTTAAGTCAGAATTTTATGTCTCAAAATACAAAAAAATACAGAAAAACGACAAGAAACTAAGATAAGCTTTACTTAGAATTAACATCATAACTAATATTTAATATTAAATTTTTTGTTGTTAACTCTCACCTAAGGAGACCATATATATATATATATATATATATATATATATATATATATATATATATATATATTTATATTTTTAAGGAGAGTGGAAGAGAGAGGGAAAGACAGAGAGCAACATTTATGTGAGAGAAACACATCAATTGGTTGCTTCCTGTACAAGCCTTGACCAGGGCCTGGGCCAGGAAGGAGCCTGCAACAAAGGTACACAGAGTACCCTTGGTAAGAATCATACCCGGGACCCTTTGGTCCACAGGCCCCTGCTCTATCCACTGAACCAAACTGGCTAGGGCTAATATTAAATTTAATTGTTTTTTTAAAAAATATATTTTATTGATTTTGTACAGAGAGGAAGGGAGAGAGATAGAGAGTTAGAAACATCGATGAGAGAGAGTCATCGATCAGCTGCCTCTTGCACACCCCCTACTGGGGATGTGCCCACAACCAAGGTACATGCCCTTGACCGGAATCGAACCCGGGACCTTTCAGTCCCCAAGCCGACACTCTATCCATTGAGCCAAACCAGTTTTCGGCTAAATTTAATTGTTATTTTATCAGTTTGTATCAAGGGGGTTGGGGAAATAGAAAAATATTTCAGAAAAATTTTTATAGGAACAAATAATTTTAATAGATTCTTAATCCTTAATATCACCAGACAAGTTAAAAATATGGGTGCCATGCACTATTTAAGAAAAGGACCAACTGTTCATAGAAAAAGTGAAACAGCTGCTCTGATCAATGTTACTGTGACTTTAAAGCTTCTTTAATTTTTCCATTATTTTTTTTTTTTTAATTAAGGACATCTTACTAGTAGGATTTACTCATACTTACAATTAAGTCCCCATCTGAAAATCTGGGAAACTAAGTCCCAAATGCTACTGTGGGCACAACCAAGTGTAATTGTTGGAATAATGGCTTTTCAACACGAAGATGACCTGCTATTAATATGATAAGGGACAGTATGAGCCCAGCAAATCACAACTTTCTTCACGAATCCCTTGTTGCTGTATCACCACTACTTAGCACGGACCTCTGGTGAAAATTAGGGAACCACCACCACAACAACAAAAAACTGGTGTAAAATCAAAATGACAGCAAATTTGAAAAGAAATCAAGTGTGACAGCTCTCTAGCTCAGGAAACTGACTTTTAGAGAGGCTTTTCTGCCTCCTGTTTCCTATGCTTCTCCAGCTTCAGATCCCGCAGTAACTGTCCCCTTCCCCTCCAGGCGAGGACTGAGGCTGCTCCCAACCTAGCCCCCTGGCCAGTGGCAGCTAGGTTGGCGGAGGTTAAGGGGGTTAAAGACTCTGGGTCCTGGTGAGGATCAGATGGAAGCTTTCTTTTTGATAAAGCCAAGATAACAGAAGGGACACTGACAACGGGAGAGCTCGGGAAACTGAGCAGCTGCCTTAAGAATCCACTTAGACTCAAACATTTTTAGGCCTGTTCATTCCTTGGGCTTTCTAGAACCTACCCCTGAGAAGAGGCAGGCATCCTTTAATGTAACAGACTGGCAAAGTCCTGGCTAAGGAGCTGCTTAGGAGATTTGCCTTCATGATACAAGAGTGTGTTCAACCTCTCTCTCTCTCTCTCTCTCTCTCTCTCTCTCTCTCTCTCTCTCTTTCTCTCTCTCTCTCTCTCACACACACACACACACACACACACACACACACACACACATTTCACAACCTTAAGGAACTTCCACTGGGGGAGAGACCCTGATCATATATATAATCATACAGTTAATCATATAATGTAACTGAATAGTGCAATTAAATTCTACTTGTAGCGAATTTAATTATCTACAGTCCACCCAACACATTTCAATGAAGTATCTCGTTAGGCACCGAAGACCCAATGGGGAAGCCTGTCCCCAGGAGACTGGCATTCAGGTAGGGATGATCACAGAGTGATAAATTTAATAGATGGTCATGGAGTGCTTAAGAAGTGCTGTGAAGTGAATAAACATGCCACTGAAATAAAGGTTAACAGAGGTTCAGAAGGAAGGGTTCAGAGAAAGAGCAAGAGGGTGTAGTGTTAGACGCAAAGGAGATAGGAAGGGCAGACCTAGTAGCAGAAAGGAGTTGGGTGTGGTCCCAGCATCTTCCAGGTCAGAGCGATAAGCATGTGAGAGGAAGGGAGTGAGGGGTCCACAGAGATGCAGACAGGGATAAGACCAGATTATGTGGACCCCTGTGGGCCAGGTAAGGGGTTTGGATTGTATTTTAAGTACAGATTGAAGTGCCTCCCTAGTTTCTCAGTGTTAGAGCAGTTTAAAAGGTAAAATTGCTTATGTTATCATATTGATAACATGTATTCATAGTCAACAAAACAAAGTTTGCCCTGCATACACAGAGAAATCGTCATTTAAATGTTCCCTTGAGATGCGGTAAATACCGTAATAAACAATGTTGTCAGCACCTTTTTAACTTAAGCCCAGTGTTATGTACACCATATATGCTCCTGCAGAATTCTGTGCCCTATACCACCAAAGAAATGGGATAGCCTTTACTTAAAGCAAGATAGCCAGGTGAGTTTTGAGCTAAAAGAGATACATTACTATATTCTAGGCAAAATAATAATACAACATTAAATACACAGACACAATTTCCTCTGTGCCAACAATTCCCCCAAATTGTAAAAGTCACACATACATAGAGAGCAAAGGAAAGAACTCAGGAAAATGAAATCCAGAAGTTAAGTGAGAAAAAGGATTTGTGGTGACACAAATGATTAATCCTTACACCTCAATTCACAAGTGGGTGTGCCTCCATAAATACCAAGAACTGCACTTACACTGAGATTAATGTTTCACTGATAATTCATTTTAGAGCTGTGGCTTTGTACCAATGACCTACATTATTAATATTTATCCCTATTAATGGACAAAGAAAATGTTATAATTGATCCATTCAGTAGATGCAATAAATGGCATCAGATATCCCCCAGAGTGGGAGAGGACGTGGATCAGCTAAAGTATTCTACCATTTAAGCTCCATACAATTATTATTGTATTTAAGTGTACTTTGTTAAAAGGCTAACAGGGTGTTAACTGAATTCCCTTACTATTCATTTTAAAATATGTGTCTATTCTCTGTTTGAAAAACATTTTTACATCTCATATACTGTTTTTCCTGTTGCCTTAAATGAAATTTACGATACCAAATAATTATGTGATGAATGTCTGCGATGTCAGTAAACACTTAGTCTATATATAGTTTGTGACCAGGTTCTAGTTCAAAATACAATAGTTCAGAAATTCTGCTATTGTGGAAAACCTAGAAAACGTAGCCCTTGAAATCCTTTCATATCCAATGTTAAGTGTGTTCTAACATTAAGAAAAAAAATCTAGTGGGGCAAATTCTGAGATGTCTTCTTCATCTGCTCAGGCAATGCTCAAGGCTTTGTGGAAGGCTATTCACGCTCCCTGTTTATTAATAGCAACAATTCGCTTTCAGATGTGAAGGTCATCATCACCTACTTGCATCAAACCACTTCTGTTCCGTTTCCACCCCTCCTGAACTTTGCTCCTTGTAAAGCACTCCTTCAAAACCACAAGCAACGCCTTCGTGTAATTCTGGTCTGAAGATCAGATTTTCAAACGGACTCAAGTGCTTGATAAGACTGTGTTACACCAGAATTTCAATGGTAGCTGACTTGACCACTACGCCCACTATGCTAACAAACCCAAGATCTTTTCCTTCTCAAACACAACAGGCCTGACCCATAGCTCCGCAGGTTTCTGATACACGTAAAAACATTCTGATGCCTTTTTAAAAACGTTCTGTTTGGACTCCTCTCCTCACTCCCACTCTTCATCCCAATGTTGGACATTAAGTGGTTGATACCCCATATACCCCCTTCTTTATGACATTAGATACTCTTCTCTTTATCTAAGATGTTAGATGCATTGTAAAGTTTAACTGTTATAGCACAGGATATGCTTTATTAATGCATATTTTTATTTTCACATTCACTTTCCATCAACTATTAAGATAATCTAAAATCAAAAGTTAATCTACAATTTATCATTTCCAGGGATGTGTTTTGGGTGCAGTTAAATGGTTTTATATTAGCAAGTGGATGGGATAAGCCGATGGATTACTTTCACCTAAATCTTCTACAATTCACATGCATTTCCTACAAAAGCTTCATTTATAGTTATTTTAAAGGGCAATCAATAAAAAAAAAATATTAAGGAACAGAATAGTGTATACATGTATGGTGGGACTAAAACCTAATTTTATAACTTTTAACACATAAATGTGATAACTATTACAATTTTTTATTCTGAGTAAATCTGAAAACCTCTATGTACACGAGATTACCTGGGAAAATTTTTTGATAAATAGCTTCCTGGATCCTTAAAAGAGAAAATATCATTACTTCTTGGATATGGCCTAGAGATATGTATTTTAGGGATATTCCCCCCCTGGTGATACTGTTACAGATGGTCTAAGAGCCAGACTTTGAGAAACTATGCCCTAGTCCCATTGTATTTATTTGGACGTGAACTAAAACTGTAACTTTTTTTAAAAAAAATATTTTATTGATTTTTTTTACAGAGAGGAAGGGAGAGAGCTAGAAACGTCGATGAGAGAGAAACATTGACCAGCTGCCTCCACACCCCCCACCGGGGATGTGCCCACAACCAATGTACATGCCCCTGACCGGAATCGAACCTGGGACCTTTCAGTCCGCAGACCGAAGCTCTACCACTGAGCCAAACCGGCTTCGGCTAAAACTGTAACTTTGTATTCATGATCCTAGTAGAATAACAAACTAAGTTCTTAGCTTTGAAGACATTTTTTTTCATTACTTTCAAAGATGTTCCCTTCACCTAGTTATGCAAATTGGGTAAACTAGTAATGAAAGGGGGGGGGGGGAACCTAATAAAATACATCATCATTGTTTAAATTACGAGATTCCACAGTGTTTATTGAGCAGTTACTACCTGTCAGATATTGTCCTGAGTCCTTTTCATACATTCCAGGACCCGGTAAGTAATGAGCAAACTACTGTATGGAGAATTTTAAACAACTTGGCCAACATCACACAGCCAGTAAAATAGCAAAGTGGGAATTCAAAACCAAATAGAGTTCTAATAAATCCATACTTGCCTGGATTTCTTTTTGAAAGCGATGCAAACATTCTGACATAAATATGCAAAGGGCTTTTCTTAATCTTGGCAAGAGTCACATTACAATAAACACATGCTCCAGTTGAGTGCTTCTCACCTCTTTCCTCTAAAGTGCCCCAAAGACAGGAACTTGGTTTTCTACCCCAGGGATAAAGAGACCTGTGGTGTAGCCTTGACACTACTGCACAGCACGCACTCTAGTCATTAACAAATATCTGGTTATTCAGTATGTAAACAGTTATTTCTTCAAAACCTTCTGTGGATTTGCAGGGTCCCTGTGATACCAAGCTGCTCACCTGATCCGCCCACCAGAGGCAGAATGGGAGTCTGGATACTCAAACCACAACAGCAATCCCCATTCTCCAGGTTCATGTACATACACACATGCATGTATATGAGAAAGGATAAAACAAACAACAACAACAAAAAAAAACCACAAAGGGCTATTTGAAAAACCTTTGGAAAGTAGTAGCTGAGCACGGTTAAAAACCAAGAGTTGAAATCTTGAACACTCCACATAAAACCAGTCTTTCCTCAAAAGGACAAACGGCCTTGGGAAGAAGGCAGCACAGGCCATTACGTGGCCACTCCCAGTGTGTGTTCAATGTCCACAGATAAGGAACTCGTGTCAGTTTGTCCTGACTGTCATTACCACCTGAAGCTGGGACCTCTTTATGGCTGTTCCTCGACCTTCATGGCCCAAGACCCTGGCGCTGCTGTACACACACGATTCTGGTTCCATGGGGGTGATGTCCACAGACCAGTGAGGGAATGACACCCTGCAGTGAATATCTGGAGCTCCCTCCCACCCTTGAGAAAAGAGAAGAGGCAGACTGAACCACCTCCTTCTCCCTCGCCAAAGGACATTTCCATAACAGCAACTGGCCACCCCCCGTTTCTATCCCAGAGGAGTAGAGAAATCTCCCTCTCCCGCTGGAATTCCAGGTCTTTACACATGTTGCAGCCAGATGATCATATGATTCAAAAATGCAGAAAACCAAGAAGGTACTTACAAAGACTGCAAAGCACTCAGTCCTCGGATGGCTTCACTGGGCACTGTTTTCAACTGATTGTTTTGGAGGGTTCTGGAAGGAAATTTTTGGTTAGTGAATAACCATTTTTTTTCTCAGAAGAATTCAGAGTCATTTCTTTAAAAAAAAAAAAAAATTATTGCCAATGACAGGAAAGGGAAGAGATCAAGGTGGAAAGCACCCAAGACAAGAGAATTGAAAAAAAAAAAAAAAAGGCAAGAAACATCTGTTGTAAAGCCAGAAATGAAACCCAAGTCATCTTCTGACATGCACGTGCCTGGCAATCGACATTTCCAGGGACTGCTTCCCTCTCAGGAATTAAGGCACCTCATTAACCTTCATCAATCACCCCAGCTAAAATTCACTGGGAAATATAACAAGCTAACTGGGAGGAATTACATCACCCACTGGAATCCCTACGCCTTTTCAAACTGGAATAAAGCAGAGCCCAGAATCGCAGACACAAGGTAAAGCCACTTGTGTCAAGGGGATAGGAGCCCCTGAGACTCGGGGCAGCAGCAGTGTGCTCAGGGATTGCGGGCCAGGGCAGAACAGGAGCTTTAATCATTGAGAACGAGGGCCTGGAGCTTGAAGGCCCAAAATGAAGTCCTTCTAGTTTTGGCCTAAAGCCATTCCTAGTCACATTAATCAAATAACTGCCTGATGTGAGTCAGAACCACAGAATGGGATGGTAAAGGGCCCCTCTAGCTCACTGGACCAGAAAGGTCTGCTGACTTGCTCATGGTCACCCAGCAAGTAGTGGTAGGAGTGAGTGGGCTGGCAGTCAGTCCCCCTGTTCCTCAACCTGCCATACTCCAAATCCTGGCCTCTGCTGGGAATTGATGTCCTGGTCCCTCCCAGGCTACGAAAGTCACAAGACCCTCGGTTCTCTTTAGCTCTGAAATGACTGCAATATTTGGAACTCTCGTAAGTCCTTTTCCCATGAGGAAAGGGACTAATTCAATGTTCTTATAGCTGTAAAATATGTGGAAACAAAATCCAACCAGCGGAGCTTAAATATGATTTTGATTCAGTGTATTAGCCACATAAAAAGTCTCATATTTGACTCTAATGCACTAGAGGTCAGAAGACCTCTTATTCAGATTTTAACTTTTGTTATCTAGACCTAGGTTTGCCTAAATCAACCTCTAGTCTCCCACACCAGCCCACTGGCCACTCCTTAAACCTTTTAATCCTGAGCTAAAAGAAACTGTGCTTAACCTCGCTCCAAGCATGTTGACTATGCAGAAAGAAAATACACAGCCAGCTGTGAAACTCTAAAACTGCATTACTTACAGAACTTTGAGCTCTTTCAACCCAGACAAGGCCTTTGGGTGGATAAAAGAAAGGTCGTTGCCAGCCAATCGTCTAGAAAAAAGAAAAGTAGCAAGAGGGGGGGGAAATTGTAATTCAGTCTCTTAAAATTCAGAACTCACAATAACCTAATCTGTGATTAAAGCTCTACGTTAAACATTTCTCAAGCCTATCTGACATTAAACATGGACTTAAACCTTTGCTGAAGCGATCCCAAGGTTCTTCCAATGAGATAAATGTGTCTGGATTTTATTTATTTATTTATTTATTTTTTTAACTCTCCAGACAATCATTTAAGCAGGCACATTTTTATTCTGGTGAGGTCAAGCAAGCCAAAACACATTAAACCAAATTAAGTTTGCTATTCATGGTCACTCTCCACAGCTTGCTCGCGGTGTTTTCCGAGTGCCTTGTACACGCAGACTACTGGCCCGTAGGCAGGAGTGTTTATTCGGATCTGAGCAAACCAGTCTGTCAAGGAGGAATGCCTTCAGGAGGCAAGTCGGCCTGTTATCTCCACAACCCAGGGCAGCAGAGTCCATGCAAAAGAGAGGCAAACAGTCAAATTCACTGTAAGCATAACTTTCCATAAAAAGGCTGATACATTTTTTGAAGGAAAAAAAAAAAAATAAGGGTTGTTCTAGAGACTTCTGAAGTGACAAATTTAAGTGGGAGTAAGCGTGGAATAAAAACAGAATTTGCAAAGTGGGTCATTTTGTAAAAAAAATAAAAATAAAAATCTCAGCACACCATTCATACTGAGCTGCTTTCCCATTTCCCCAGGCACACAGAAACTGGGAGAAAAGGACTTTAAGGAGAAGAAGCAGGAAATGGGACCGCAACTCATATAAGTAATTTATGAACAGGTGAACTTGAAGGAGCGTTCCAGGTTTTGGCTTGAATGAAGGTTGCATGCCCTGAGAATTAAACACAGCACTCTCCCAGTTTCCTGGTTCCGTCAGAGGCATTCTCCCAGGCCACGAGATTTTGTGTCTATAATTTAAAAAAAAAAAAAAAAAAAAAAAAGAAGAGAAAAAGAAAAAGAAAAAAAGAGAGCTCTCTCCCCCCAACACCCTCTTCTTAGACATCAGGTGATCAGGTGTGCCCCATGCTTCTAATCTGTTCCTCTTAACAAACTTTGATTTCAGGAAGCCTCATACATCTGAAGTCACTGAAACCTGAAAACACTACTTTTTATTTTTTTAAATATATTGATTTTTTTTTTTTTTTTTTTTTTTTTTTTTAATGAGAGGAATAGAGAGTTAGACACATCCATGAAAGAGAAACATTGATCAGCTGCCTCTTGCACAATCCCTACTGGGTATGTGCCCTCAACTAACGCACATGCCGTTGACCGGAATTGAACCTGGGACCCTTGAGTCCGCAGGCCAATGCTCTATCCACTGAGCCAAACCGGGTAGGGCAATACTCTACTTTTTAGATGCATTTACTTTTTCTTGAAGCTTTTGTCCCAGTTAAAATGCAAACAGTCTTGGAAAGGCTAACACTTGATCTTTACCTGGTATTAACATAGAGAGAAACATGAAGATGTGTGTGAGTTGGAAGGGAATGTGGGTGGAGGAGTGAAAAGTAAAACAATCACAGGACAAGAGCAAGTGTGTCGTTTATTCAACCGCCAGGATAACAATGCTGGGTTTTCAGGCAACATCACAACTGAATGACAGGGTTTCACACATGGCGGCCAAGTCATGGAAAAAACCCTTCCATTGAAGGCTGGATAAAGAAGATGTACTGTAGTACATATGTACAATGGAATACTACCCAGCCATACGGACAGATGAAGTAATCCCACTTGTGACATCATGGATGGATCTTGAGAATATCATGCGAAGAGAAATGAGTCAGAGAAAGCTAAGAACCATATGTTTTCACTCATATGTAGGATATAAAAGTGAAACTGAGACACAAACAACAGTATGGTGGTTACCAGAAAATGTGGGAAGTAAAGGGTAAAGAGAGCCAAATATATGGTGATGGAAGACGATTGGACTCTGAGTGGTGAACTCAATTCAATATATAGATCATGTATCATAGAAATGCACACTTAGAACCTATATAATCTTGTTAACCAATGTCACTCCAATAAATTTAATTTTTAAAAAGACAAGATTTAACAATTTGAACACATGCCCCTAAATTATATTTTCCATAAATAGCCCTCTCACTATTTCCTTGGTTTCCAAAAAGGCATCCCAGCACCTAAGCTCTATATTTTGAGGCTTCCACAACCCAGGCTCATGACCTTTTACCTCTTAAAGGTCACCCTACGTAAAATGAGAGGTTGCAGATGATGACCTCTTCAGTGCTTCCATTTTAAAATGTTTCTCCTCAGCAAATCCTCTTGCTTCTAGACCAGCTATTTTCACCACTGTGTCTTTAAATGCTTCACCTCTCAACCTCATCTTCACCCCCTACATAGCCATCTTCAGTGTTACTTCCCATGAAAACTTCTGTTCCAATGGCCATGCCTGATGTATGAATTCTTAGAACTCAACTGAAGCTGGTCACAGGCTACCTTCTATGGTTATTCCTTGCACAGTAAGCTTGTAGGCCAAATACAAACACTTCCAAGAACAGGCACGGGGAAATGCCAACTCAATATTTAGAATCTGCTTTCTCGGAATTTCTTCCTCGAAAATGCTTGCCATTCCAATACCACAGTCTACACCTCCTGCAGGCTTGATGCATGCCCTCTCAAAGGGCTTTCTCCTCCCACCTCCCCAACATACCCCCTCCGGCTCACTCACTAAGTTCAATTGGTAATGCAGTGTTTAATAAGGACCATTAGGGGCAGTAGCCTGCCCCCCCAGCAATGCAAGTAGTCCCGTGTCTATGAGGGCTCCTCCAAGTTCTTTGAAAGACCAGCCTTCGCTGTCAAGTCTACCAAAAAGCAAACATTAGAAACAGATTGAGGCTGATACAAGATTCTTATCCTTTTGTCTCTGATATTCGCTTTCCATGTCCCCATATCTATGAACTTTCCTTGAGGACTTCAGTCTATTTGACTGGTAGCTCATGGAAAAGCGTATTTTATAATTTAACCAAGTGGCAAAATGCAGAGAACCTGACTCCCTTTACTTGTCATCAGAAGAGAGGGTTGAAGCGCAGGAGCCAAAACATTTGCTTTCTTTCCCCAAATCTCTGCCCCTTTATGAGCCACGGGAAAACTAAAGCAAGCTAATGTCAAAAGCACCCTCTCTTCCTCCACTATTTCTCATCAATGGAAATGACCAAAGGAGCTCTCTGCCTGTGGCTTATCCCAAAATGCAAACCCAGTATGTGGAGAAATCAACACTGCCCGGATGTGGTGGACGGTGCTAATGCTGAGATGGGGGCACACCACCTCACACTCCCTCCCATTACTCCTATCTTCTGGAATGCCTCTGCCCACATTTTACTGAGCGGCTGTTAATGAATAATAAACACAGTAGCCTGGTGGGGGCTCTGCAGCTTCAGCAGCTGCACCCTCCCAAGCCTCTTGGCTTCTTTTATGGGCCAGTCATTCTTAGAGCAGACCCTAGGGATGCTTCTTGTTCAAAATCTCAGACCCAGAAAGAGCAATGTGAGTAAATAACAGGACAGGGGACAACGTGCCCTCAATCTCTGGAAGGAAACACCTGCTGGGGAATGAGCCCACAGTAGTGACAGGCACTGTGATAGTGGTTTACAGACATTCCTTTTCATTTTAATCATCGCATGACAATAGCCACGCTTCTCCCGAAGAGGCTAGTAAACTTGGCATAAGTCACAGGGCTGGTAAGCAGAGGAGCCAGCATTCCTAGCTGGCTCCAGTGCTTATCTACTTTCTCTGCACTCCTGTGATGCCTCTGGTGGGTCACCAGGAGATGAGGAAACAATTCTCAGAGAACACAGTGGACTTGGGCAGTAGCCTTGTTTGAGTTGCAACGGGTCTCACTCAGCAGACCAGAGCTCCCATGCAGAGACAATGGCATTAGGAGGTCAGAACTGCAATTTTTTAGAGGAGTTTCCAACAGACTAACAGCACCATCCTTCCCAGAGCCAAAGATGACCCGTGGGAAGGGGCATGGAAATGGGGGTGGGGGATGGAACCCCGAGGTGCCCAAGGAGCAGGGCATGTCCTAAACTCACTGGGATTCTATTAGGATATAGAACATTCTCCGTTATGCTTTTTCAGCACCTCCCAAGGAAAAACAGGTGGCGGATCTGAGGAAGAATTTGTCACCAGTGGCCCTCTCCTAGCCAAGGCCAGCTACTTCCCACTCTGTGCCTGGGTTGTCTCTACTACACCCAACAGTGTATCCAACTTCTCTCGGCATGAGGGCCTATTGGCTGGTTCCAGAAAATGTTTTTAATTTGGTAAATTATAATATTTCTTCTTTCTCCTTTCTTCCTTTCTTTCTCTTTCTTTCTTTCTTTTTTTAAAATATATTTTGATTTTTTACAGAGAGGAAGGGAGAGAGATAGAGAGATAGAAACGTCGATGAGAGAGAAACATTGACCAGCTGCCTCTTGCACACCCCCTACCGGGGATGCGCCCCCAACCAACGTACATGCCCCTGACCGGAATCGAAACTGGGACCTTTCAGTCCGCAGACCGATGCTCTACCACTGAGCCAAACCGGTTTCAGCTCTTTCTTTCTTTTTTACTTATTCTTCCAATGGCTATGAAGCCCTTAAAAAAAATCATTAGGGTGAGAACAGAAGGTTGAAGGTGGTATACTTCTCTCTGTGCTAAGGGCATATGGTCCCAAGCATCCCTTCTTTCCCCTCTGCCGCCCTCCCGTTGGACGTGGAGCCCTGAACACATGACCATAGAGCCTGGCTGCACAGTGCCCATCCATCCACTCATTACTCTTCCTGCTGACACCTAGGTCGAGGTCAGTGGTTGGCAAACTCATTAGTCAACAGAGCCAAATATCAATCAACAGTACAACGATTGAGATTTCTTGTGAGAGCCAAGTTTTTTAAACTTAAACTTCTTCTAACGCCACTTCTTCAAAATAGACTCGCCCAGGCCGTGCTATTTTGTGGAAGAGCCACACTCAAGGGGC